CAGATATAAATAAAGGTATTACTTTACTATACTTCATTAAATCAGGAAACACACCAGAATCGATACAAGTATTAAAAATAATACAGCATATAGCAAGATGAGGTGCAATTAAATCTATTATGGACGCAATCACTGTAACGGAAATCCCCCACAAATCTGCGGTTTTCTTTACATCAATGGTTTTGAAGTATTTTACAATATTATGCGGTAATACTTTTTCAAATCTAAATTCTTTTAAACAGGTATTAACATTCTGTTTAAGTAATGACTCGGCGACAGTTGGAGAAGTATTCATTGACTCTATTGTCAAGATAGGAACATCAGTGAAATATTTCTCAAACACCGCTGCAACTTCTTGATTTGATTTAGTCAATTATTCAAACATACACCGGTTGATGATTTTTCGGATGCATTAAATACGACTCTTAGTGACGCAGTTAAAGAGTGAGGGCGATGCGACATGTAATATATTGGTGTCCAATTCGCCGCTATTGTATGCATGTGATGTAGATTGAATTTCATATTTCTTATTCTATTATAAATTGCTTGTAATTATGGCCTAAATTTTGAGTTTTTCCAAATATACGTTCGAGCTGATAAAATTGTCCGCAAGTTTTGGGTTCAGATAATCCTAACTTCTCCTCAGCGTCAGGGTGTAGTGGAAGGCGCACTACATCTCCCATTGGGTTGGCGAAAAGTAGACATTGATGGTCTTCGAATGACATTTCCTCATTGTCATTGATATCTTCGATCGAATAAAATTTATGTATACTGTCAATGTCTTCCATAATCACGTTACAGTTGTACGATTTCACGTTTCCACATAAAATCCGTTGTACACGCCCCTAGTTGCCCCGACAAAGGTCGACCACACAGGGGCCCATACAGCTGTAGATTCAACGGACAACTAAGGGTGGGGCTCAAATTGCCTATGGAGAATTCTTCTATCACAATAAACTATATGGGAGCAAACTAGAAAGCAAAGGTACTTACTTGTATCAGGAGCTAACTTCGCTCCAAGGCTTGGGCAGGCCGTGAGTGTGTGTAATGATAGATAGCGAGTCGTGTATAGTGATGTGTGAATGTGTAGGGCCTTGGCAAGCATAGGCGACTAGCAGCGGCCGAGTTTCAGGCTGCTCCAAAATACTGCATCGATCTAGACTGCTTCAGCGCTGGACCACTTCTTTCTTCACTGTCACTACTCAGTCTCTCAGCTTCATTGTACATTTAACTTACTTCAAGTCACCTAATTCCACACTCATCGCAGAATCGTACACGTGATATCCGACACGGCAAGGACAGTAGCACAAAATTCGACATTGAATGTCCCGGATTCACTTATCACAAATTATAAATGCGGCACCAGAATAACACGTCGCGCCAGAGTCAAAGTACGCCTCGTTGACATGCAAATTAATCTAACTAGGCAACCAAAACACAAAAGGGGCACTAAACGCGACGACACAATTATAATGATATCTTGACAATTAACCGGGAGAAGCTCTCAACCAAGGAATGCGCGACTCGAATCCTAGACCGTATATGTACTCGACGCGTGTGCACAATTCCGCATTCCCGCACGAGTTAAATATCGCAAAATTCACACATCTACGTAACGAAGAATCAAGTACTTCATCTAGCTATCTAGATCCACGACGGGCCGTGAATTTAGGTAAGAGGACCTGACGGTCTCCCCGCCTCGTGGCTGGCGGGGCACCGACCTTTAGCCCATCCGTCGCGCGACTGACTGCCACCCAGCCGCGCACGGTCGCCCCACCTCGGCGCTTATCTCACCTACATACCATCGGGTGAGGCGCCAGCTCGAACGCAATTGGGTGGCGTTCAAACATGACCAAATTTTTTCATAAACATCCGTCCTAGTAGCTTTTGCTGCGCAATAGGCATATCGTCTTTTTCTCTGATGATTCCTCCCATGATGATCGAAGAGTAAACATCGGCGCCCAGTAACAAATCTACTGTCCTGCTACGATAAAATTCAGGGTACACTAGTTGGAAGTCTTCAATAAACGCCCATGATGGTTTTCCGAATGATTTGTTTGGTAAGTTGTTTACTGCGTGATTCATTATAAAAGCATCAAGATTAATGTTATACGTACTGTTACGGCCCGCAACTGCTGCCCCTGCAAAGGTCATGAGTCACACGGTTCGGCGTTAAACACAACTAAGTTCCTTCGTTTGATACTAAATATTACGCTGCGATAAGAATTCAAAATCCGCCTCGTTGACACGTAAAATGAACAAAACAGTCAACACACAAAAAGGGGCACGCACCGTGACTCGCGTGACACCTAGTACCATCGGGCGATTCACGAAGTCGAACGTGATTGGATGGCGTACAAATTACCTTTTTTGGGCCTAAACACGTACTAGAATAGAATAGAATAGAATAGAATAATTTTTTATTCAATATATATTACATGTGTAATTCTTATTGAAAGTCATTTTTTACTTTACCACTGGTTCGAAAAAAAAACCCTCTGTCCTGGGAAGAACCAGCAAGAAACCCAGCAGGACTTTTTTTTTAAATAAATTTTACAATATAAATGATTACGAACTATTTACAAAATTTATTTTAGAAACTGCTTGGAAGCGACCACCTCATTCCCAGGGGTTATTATCAACCATGTATTCATTTATATTATATTAACCCTTTTTATACAGTTTCAGCTTAATAAAGCATTTAAACTTGGTAATAGAGAGAACCTGTACACTTTCCGGGACCTTGTTGTAATAGCGTATACATTGCCCCAAGAATGAATTACTGACTCTGTGGAGTCGAGAAACTGGCATCATTAGCTTATGTTTGTTCCTAGTGTTTACAGAATGTACCACAAATGTATCACTTTTTTACTAAAACTATCTTTGTTTTTGTGAACATAAATTAAATTTTCGTAAATATACTGAGAGGCCAAAGTTAATATATTTATTTCTTTAAATTTATCTCTAAGAGAATCTCTTGGTTTTAGATTGTAAATAGCTCTAATGGCCCTATTCTGAAAACAAAAATAGTTTCTGAATCAGCCGCATTTCCCCATAGCAAAATCCCATAAGACATTATGCTGAATTTAATATTACTGAAATAAACTATTCTAGCCGTCTTGACACTAGTGAGACCTCTAATCTTTTTTACAGCATAGGCTGCAGAACTTAGTCTGCTTGCTAATTTGGATATATGGGGGCCCCACTGAAGCTTTGCGTCGAGAGTGATGCCAAGAAAAACAGTGGATACAACAGGGCTCAATTCCTCTCCATTTAAATACACATTTAGTGTAGATTATTAGTATTCAAGATTATTCAGAAGTATTCAGATTTTTAACATTCGTTGTTGTAAATTTAACACAATTAGTTTTATTTCCATTCAAATGCAGATTATTAACGTAAAACCAATGCACTAATGTAGATATAGCATTATGCACTTTGTCACATTTAAATGATTGACGTTTAAATTATAATACTATATCATGACTATCCCCTACAAGGCCGAAAATCGAGTCCTGAGGGACACCCATTGGTACAGGTGACCCGGAAGAACTTTTATCATTGATAATAACCTTCTGCTTTCTATTACTTAAATATGAAATAATAAGTTTAAGCGCTGTGTATTTGACACCATAGTACTGTAGCTTCCTGATTAATCTCTCATGGTGAACACAGTCGAAGGCTTTGGAAAGGTCACAAAATATACCCAAAGCATCCTCTGAATTTTCCCATGCACAAAAAATATGTTTAATAAGCTCAACTCCAGCGTCAGTTGTCGAGCGACCCCTTGGGTGACAAGAAGACAAGGTGATGTTCATAACACCTTTCTGTTCTCCTTCGCGTCTACTCCTAATATCACTCCTTTGCAATGCTTACGAGGTAATCCTAATCTTTAAGCGCCGTTTTCGGTGATAATTGAAGTTTAGGACCCTTGGTCGATAAGAGCTCTCATGGAGTGAAGGGTACCATCGAGAGCTTGGACGTTGATTATAGCAGTAGCCAATAAAATCTCTTTGGTGTCCTCCAGAGACACGTGTGAGTTTGACACTGTGCGATCTGTCGTTGTACTCGGATTTGCAGCGTTTGCTTATACGGCAAAGGCTTCGTGAACTAGTGTATGATGATTGCTTTGACACTAATGACATCTTTTCTTTGCAAAACATTCATTACCGTTATGATTATAAAGGCAGTTTTGGCATAAAGATAGCTTGGATATTATTTGTCGCTTGAAATCAGGTTGATATTTTGAAAATGTTTCGCAGTACGGAATAGCGTGATCTTCATTTCAGACAGGATTTTTGCTTTGGTGCGGACGCTTACCTACTTTTATTATTAAAATTATTTGATTTTAATGACGGATTTTGATTGCTCGTGAATGCTTTAAAAACGAATGATTTTTTGAAATTAGATGGCCGAGATGATTATTGCGGTTGCTGATTTGACTTCTGGTCGTCTTATTTGCGTTTTGACGACTCTAGGGCTGTGAATTACACCTCCAGAAATTGTAATAAATCTTTTAGAGTCGGCAAATCTCTTGGTTATTTCAATGACTCGATGTAGTCATTATGGGTGTCTGTGTCTAATTTTTGAGTAATTAAGTAAACAATCATGGAGCCCCAGTTCTCTTTGTTGACTCCCAGATTTTTGATGGCATTTAGGCATTTGTTGGCGGTATCATGAATCTTCTTAATCACTGATGGTGACTGCTGTTGTATAGTAGGTTGGTTCACTAAGACACTCATGTGAGAATTAAAAATAAGCTTCGTGATATTATACCGGTGGTTGAAAAGATCCCAATATACTTGATAGTTATCTGTGCTTATCTGTAAATGTTGCACTATTTTCTGTGCTTCTCCTTTTAATTCACTTTTCATAAATTGCATTTTATGACTGTTCGACAAGGCTCTATTGCTATATATAGTTTCGATGAACAAGTCCTTAAACGACAAACACTGGTGGTAGCTACCACTGAACGTAGGTATGTCCATTTTTGGGGTTGTCTACTCCCGGTAAAGATCAGACCACATCTTGCTGTTGATGACTTTCTTCATGTTGTTGAACTTTTGCTCATAGCTGCTGAACATTTCTTCATACTCTTCATTATCTTCGTATAGTTCGCTGTCAATTTCCCAGTGCAAGGCGTCTATTATCGTCCAGCGTGCCTGAACTGACTTTAGAATATCCTTATACTCCCTTTTTTCTGAGATTTTGTCGACATCGATGCTGCTAATAGTACGCTGAAAAGATTTGCAGTGTTTCTGAGCTTTCTCAACATATCCACTAACTTGCTGCTAGTACCTTGGGCTCGGAATGCTTCTGCGTCTGTTGTAATTTCAGGATGAATTGCGCTGCCAGACGGTATAGCTGAAAAGCCTGTCTTTTGCAATGGGGTAGCTGGCCTGAGAAGGCTTTTTTCTTTAGAGTCACTCGGTAAATAACTAATAAGATAATTGTGTGTTTCATTGTAAACATCGGACGTTCTTTTATAGTAATTGCTAGTAAAATATTCATGAGATTTTGTCGTCAGAATCAAAAAGTTTAAGATGATTACCTTGAAACTCCTTGCAATAACTTTCTAAAGTGCTAAGTCACTTTTTAATATGAGCCGGTGTCTTACGGTTGGCACCGTCTTTTTTAAAGTTGATTAGGAGCTGATCCATACCATCCATTATTTATTTGGTTCTAACTAGCTAGAAGATCTTCCATTTTGACCAATTACTGTGGCTTCTGATTATAATAGAGAGCTGTAGACTTACTAATGCTGCCTGCTGGTTGACTTAAGTTGCGTGTCACCACTTTCGCAATTCAAAATAGGTCACTTGCGACAGAGGTCCCGCTCACGTTAAGCTCGGAGGACGATAAAGATGTACGTTACACCTAAGATGCTGCTGCTGATAAAATAAATAAAATATGCCACTTGAACTAAAACAGAAAAGATATTTAAAAAGTGCTAATAGCTAATGATGAGTACACGAATGCGCTTTGAGGCGATGCTATGTGAACTGATTCGATGAACAATAAAATAAGCATATGAGGCAAAAATGCTGATCAGGCAATTTGTGCAATTGCACCGTACATGCAGCTAGTGTTCTTGGCACAAAACCACGGGGAGTATGATTATGGCCGTATGTGATTATTTAGGTTTATAGTTTTAGTTATTTTATAATAGTTTTATATATATCAATTTTATATTTTTTAATATACCAGGCTTGATATATAAGTTACAAAAAAACAAATAACATCAAATACAACAAATTTAAAAATTAAAATTCATTTAATCATGTTTTGAGCTTTCATGCCATTGTAAACTATTACGTCTAACAGTTTACATGGAGCAAAAAAAAACAGCACTGCTCTTTCGAGTCCTGTGAAGAGCTCCAATCCATTCTAGCATTCGCTTATTATTTGAACGTTACATGTGAGGCCACATTGTATGTTTTTTTTTCTCTTTAATTGGTATATTGTATCGTTTTTATAACAACACGTTTTTGAATAAGTATGGAACAGAGATAAAATAATTGTCTTTCATTTTAGATTTTTATAAATTACTAGCGACACGCCCTGACTACGGCTAGATATAATTTTTTTGTAGAATTAGTGTGACAAAAGAGCACACAATCCACCACACACAACCAATTGACATTAATCCTCAATTTAGAATAAAAATTTAGATGCGTTGTCGCCCCTGAGGACTAATATGGGAATGCCTCGTTTCCAGTAAAAAGTATCTTCGGTTTTCTATTCTCACTATACGAAACACAGCAGCAATAGGCTACGCTGGTAAACTATTAGAGTACTCCTATTCCGGCTGAGCCCTCCAATTCGTGTGACGACCATAATAAAGCAGCAGCGCTTTTACCACCTACAAAATTCTGTTAATTCTATAAAAAGATTATTTTTAACGGAGGTAGAGCCACGCGGCAGTTTTTGCTGTTGCACGTATGGGCCGCCTCGAGCCGGGTTGGCACCACGACCTCACAGAATACCGGCGTGAAGTAGAAGCTCTGCTTCTGCGTTTCGTCTGGTGAGTGCAGGTGGCCGGAGGCCCAATACCCTCCCCCCCCCCCCCCCCCCCATCAACATGGTAGCGGAATTACACCAAAGACTACCCCAGGAGGGTACCAGCACCCCTGGAGAATCCCTCGCTGAGCATCCACGACCATGTCAAAATTCCACTCAAAAACATAACTGCTCGGGGCAAACTGAGCAACAATACCAAGGCGACCCCTGCCACGCTATCCGTGAATTTCTGCAACATTAGGGGATTTCACTCGAACCTAAACGCCGTCCACTACCATCTCGAGACGGCGAACCTGGCCTTACTCTTTCCGACCGAGACGCAGGTGTCCTCTCCGGCTGATACTTCGTATCTCACCTACCCAGGGTACAAATTGGAGCACTCCTTTGTACCTCGGGCTGTAGTTTGCGTGTATGTCAGAGAGGACTTCTGTTCTCGACGCCTCGGCAATCTTGAAGGTTCGGACCTGTCTATCCTTTGGCTACGCGTAGACAGCGACGACCATCCGCGCGTCTACGGGTGCCTCTATAGGTCCCATAGCGGTAATGCTGAAACAGACCGACTCATCGACCACGTCCAAATGGCTACAGATTCCTTGCTACAACAGGTCCCATTCGCAGAGATCGTGATCCTTGGCGATTTTAACGTCCACCACGCCGTATGGCTGGGTTCTCGTTAAACCGATCATGCGGGGAGATCTGTTTATGACTTTGCCTTGGCATATGGTTTGACACAACTGGTTTCTTCGACTACGCGGATTCCAGATGTGGAGGATCATACACCTTCCCTGTCGGACCTTCTACTGACCTCTTATCCGGACGGATATCAGGTTTCCGTCGATGCCCCTCTCGGCTCTTCGGACCATTGTCTGATCCGGAGTGTGGTGCTACTCACGCTCCCCTCGCGGTTGCGTTCTACAGGTTGCCGCCGTGTTTGGCATTACAGGTCGGTGGATTGGGACGGAATGCGGTCTTTCTTTGCATCCTACCCATCGGGGCGGGTTTGCTTCTCGCCGGATGATCCCAGCGCTGTTACTGACTCTGTCACTGATGTGGTGCTACAGGGAATGGAACTATTTATTCCATCATCTTTGGTACCCATCGGAGGCAGATCTCAGCATTGGTTTGGTGGCTCCTGTAAGACTGCATTACGTAGTAAGCAGAAGTGTTATCAAGCCTGGGCTGCGGCTTCGGTGACTCGGGATGTAAACACCAGCATACTTAAAAAGAAGTATAACTTCGCCTCCAGGTCCTTCAAAAGCGATATTGCCAAGCCAAAGTCAGAGCACATAGGCAGGATTGGCGAGAAACTAGTTCGCCTTCCTTCGGGAACCCGTGCATTCTGGTCTCTCGCCAAGGCTGTCCAAGAGAATTTCTGTAAGCCATCACTACCATCTCTGCACAGGGAGGACGACTCACTGGCCCATGCCGCAAAAGAGAAAGCCGACCTTTTAGGCTCCTTTCTTGCGTCCAACTCGACTCTTGATGACGGGGGGAAAACACCGCCGACCATCCCGCGGTGTGAGTGCTCCATGCCGGATGTGCTGTTCTCACAGCGCTCGGTTCGCAAAGCACTCCTTTCCCTGGACATCCAGAAGTCGAGTGGGCCTGACGAAATCCCCCCAATTGTGCTGAGGACGTGTCCTCCGGAGTTGGCACCGATCCTAACGCGTCTGTTTCGGTACTCCTACTCCCAAGGCGTAGTCCCGAATTCATGGAAGACAGCTTTTGTCCACCCGATCCCTAAAAAGGCGACCGCTCAGATCCGTTCAACTATAGGCCTATCGACATCACCTCCTTGTTCTCCAAAATAATGGAATCCATTATTAACTGCCAGCTCACGCGGTACCTTGAGGATCACCAGCTGAGTGACCGCCAATACGGTTTTCGTCGGGGTCGATCAACTGGTGATCTTCTGGTCTACCTGACTCATAGATGGGCGGAGGCAGAAGAGTCCAAGGGGGAGGCGTTGGCCGTTACTTTGGACATTGCGAAGCCCTTCGATCGGGTTTGGCACAAAGTGCTTCTTTCGAAGCTCCCTTCTTATAGGCTTCCCAAGAAATTGTGCAATTGGATCACCAGCTTCCTTGCAGATCGGAGCATCATGGTAGATGGTGCATGCTCCGACTACAAGCCTATTAACGCTGGTGTTCCAATGGCTGTGTGCTATCACCAACGCTGTTTCTTCTGCATATCAATGATATGTTGCAATCTGGAAACATTCATTGCTATGCGTATCACAGCGCTGGTGATGCTCTATAGGCCGGCCGTGTCAATATTTCTCGGGAGAACGTCGCCGAGTACCGGAACAAACTTGTGTCTGAAGTCGAGTCTTTGCTGAACAAAGTCTCGGATTGGGGGTGACTAAATCTAGTCCAGTTTAATCCTCAGAAAACACAAGTTTGCGCGTTTACTTACACGTCTTAATAACATGCAATTAAATCACTGAGCTGAAAAGAGGCCAATTATTTCAATTTTATTTTTATGTGTATAAACTAGCTACTGCTTGACTACAGCACAACTCGTTGTTTTACAAGTAGAAGTAACAAATAAACATATAACCAACCTGATGTTAGGTAGTGTTGTGTTATATAGACACCTACATTTATCCTTGATTAGAAAAAAGGTATTGCCGCGTAAGACATTTCGTCCTGAGGGTATCATAAGAGGCGACTGTGGGAAATGCCAGATTATTTATTTATTTATTTCTCACTTAAACAATATGCTCGGTCGTAAACATGAAAAAGATAGCAATAAACTTAAGTAAAATTATAATGAAAATAAAAGTTAAATTAAATAAATAAAAGTCAAATGAACATTTTTAGTAATTTTCTAATTAAGTTAGTAAAAGACATAAAGTCAAAAAAGTAAAAAAAAAAACTCATACAAACACAAAAAACGCCAGGAATATTTAAGAGGTATCTACTTCATGTCGACATATTGCAAAAATAATCGAGGTTATTCTTACAGAGTATCTAACAATACAATGGCAACTGTACTATCATAGCTGCATGTCATTCAAGTAGTATTGGATACAGATTGTTTTAGTGGATAACATTTCGGTATCCACTAAAACAGAAATAAAATTTGAAACAGTAACATTTCTGTATCTGTAGTTTTTTTTTTTTACTAACCGACTAGTATAGCGGACTGTGCATTTTAACATTATTGTTAAAAGTTACAGCCTATATACGACCCACTGTTGGGCACAGGTCTCTCCTCATTTCCGTATCCGCAACGCTGCCCCAATGTGTTGGCGAACATCACATGTCTTCGATTTTGTTTTTAGTATTAGCCTTGTGCAAAGTTATTTAGATCTTTGCGTCTGGTATTTAAACGAGCTGCTCTTTCAGTTTCAGATTCGTGTGCCTCGAGCTTTTTCCTCAAAGCACTAAGCAGGACCATGATCCTCATGATGTAGCGGCATGGCACCGTTAATATTTATAATTTTATAAAGTGCTCTCCCTCGCACTTTTTCTTATCTTGCCATGAGA